GTGCAACTCACTGCATCCCGTGAAGAACTGGCCAGCTTGTCAGAGTGGTCCTCTCCACAGTAACGTGCGAACATGACCAGCCCCATCACACAACTTAGAGCCAGAGCCAGCTGCAGGGAGGGAAAAACCATGTAGCAAGACCTGCAGGAGGTTGGGAACATAATAAGGTGCTAACTTTGAAGTCAGCTTCTTGTCATTTTCTTTTTATTTCACTCATCGTTTTTGCAGATGTTTTTTTCATGTTTTTTTGGAGCACCCTCCTTTAAACTTGCAGGGCAGAGTGGCTAACACATATAGCTAATCTAACAGCCACAGGATTTAATAAAGCACATGAATACATACAAGCTAGCTTGAAATAAAATATTTAGAGGCTCATCTACTGTCTCCTTCCATCTCTGTTGTGTCATGAATAACTGTAGAACATATTATCAGTATGAATTCACAAGAATCTTTGCTTTAATATCAAAGCCACTGCTTACCTGACAGCCTCTTTCTCTGTGCGTGAGCTGAGGTATCTTTGGACCTGAGCCTGGTTCACACCATACAGGGACAGCATGAGGAAGACCCCACCGACCCCAAGAGTCCAGAAGGTGTGTCTCTCTGTCGGATCTGGGTTTAGACTGTATCACAGGTGAGAGAGAGAGAGATGCGGTTTAAAGACTATATCTTATGAAATCAAATGCATGGACCGGAGCTCTTTCCAACAAGCCTCCATGTAGAGTAAACTTGCAACAGCAGTTAATGATTCCAAATATACTATTTGAAGAATACAGTCCTGGGTTAATTTAATTTAAAAAGCAATAGCTGACAAAACCTTTCTTAAAACTGCAGAAACAAAGATTTGCAAGTACTAAATATTGAAGAGAAACACATTCAAGCTAGATTTGATTTATTTTTTTTCCTTCCTCTACTAAATAAGTGGAGGTTTTAATGCCACCTGCAGTACTATAACCTGCATTTAACTTGTAGGATAGGTGAAGGATTGTTTTTAGTTTGTAAGACTGTCTGCAAACATTTTTTCAGATTTTCCGCATCCATGTAAATCCAACCGCTACTTTGCTGAAGTAGCCTCAGGTGCCAACAGACACATTTTTACAGCTCCCATGGAGCCAGGTGATATTGGTTTCCATCTGCCAGTCAATGTTTAGGATGCAGATAAATTTTAATAACCAAATGCAAACATAATTTCTCACCAGGAAAAAAGGCACTGTGGTTTTTAAATGTACGAGCTGCAACAAAAAGAAGCGTTAGATTTCAGAGTGCTTTAATTCTGCAGCTGTTCGAAAGAAGGAAGTTTCGTGTGGTTGCCGGTGCGAAAAATAACGACAGCTTTATTGGAGTGTGCGATGTATTTGACTATCATCTGGATATATATGCAGTGTATTTTATTTTTCCCCCCATCTTTATCTGCATGCAACTAATGTGTGCTCAGTGTTGTACACCCCAGAAAGCTTTCAGTATCAAATATCATGCCCCTTGCCTGCATATTTTACATATTCATATGAAAACTCTACAAAGAGTCGTTTCCATTAAGCAAACTTCAAACGCACTCGAGACCAGAGATGCGGTTTCCCTCCCAGACTTTCCTCCAAACATCAGCCACTCCTCCAGTCTTCTGCACTCCCACCACAATGACAGCCAGCTGCCCTGCAAACATCACAACAGTCTGAAAGACGTCTGTCCAGATGACGGCCTTCAAACCACCCTGAGACAAAAAGGCACCGAAAGCATTAAAAGGCTACATGTGTGAATCAAGAAGTATTCAACTGCTACTCAAACATAAAGACCCTACTAAAAAATATTTATGGGTATTTTTTGCAGGTTTTTTGTCAGTTCTTGCAAGTTATTTTTATGGAGTAGCAAAGGCAGTGTTGACAGAAGACCAAGTCATTCCTATCAGGTTAAGCTCAATGAAATCACCCTCAATTTATTCAAAGCCCTTGTAGAAGGCTGTGCAAACTGGGCCTGTGATGTAACTCACCAGTGTTGTGTACAACGTGCACACTAGTCCAGTGGCCAGCACTGTTCCCCATAGTTCAAACCCAGTGACTGCAAAAACAGAGACAGAGAGCAACCCACTGAACTACAAGAATTATTTAGTTAAATTCAATGAGAAAGTTAAAAAAAAGAAAAAGAAAAAGAAAAATAACCTCTTCTTACCTGCATTCAGTGCAAAGGCAGGAGTATACACACAAACTCCCATATAGATAACCTGCAGTCGGGTAAAAAGAAAATGTCATCTTCATAGAAAAACCTTTGAACTTTAAGGCCTTTATATTATTGAATGCACTAAAGCGGTCCACTAAATGTGCAAAGTGACATTAAGTTTATTCTCCTTATAGCTGAGAGTAAAAAAGAGAATATTTACACTGCTTTATTATATCTGCTTAAAATAAAACTAGAGCTGGTACAACATGACATAGCTACTGGGTATCAGTCTTCCTCTTCTCCTTCTTCTTCTGCCTGCTCCCTTTAAAGGTCGCCACAGTGGATCATCTGCCTCCATCTCACACTATCTCTAACATCCTCCTCTGTCACACCAACCCTCTGTATGTCCTCCTTCAGTACATCCATAATCTTTTCTGTGGTCTTCCTCCTTTCTTCCTGCCTGGCAGCTCCACCATCAACATCTTTTGTCCAGCACATCCACTATCGCTTCTCTGCACACGTCCAAACCATCTCAGCCTTGTCTTAACTTTGTCTCCAAACTGCTCAATCTAACCTGTCCCTCTGATGTAGTTATTTCTAATCTTGCCAATTTTGGCCCCTCTCAGTGAAAATATTAACATCTTCAACTCTACCAAACCCCTAGCTACATTAAACGTGTCCACCTTCTCTAACCCTGTCATTTACAGTTATTCTGTCTTGCTTTTTACCAGTTTTACAGAATACCATTATTATAAAATGTTATGTTACATTAAAAAAAAAATCTTAAAAGGTTACACAAGGGAGGTTATTTATATTTTACTCCTGTGAGAAAGACAGTAGTGATGTTATATTTGTAGTTGTGGTATTTGAATATCAAATATTGGGAAAAAACCTTGCATCCGCACATCCTGTGTTATCGCACTGCAGTGCTGCACTCACCATTTGAAAGATGAAGGTCAAAGTTCCACATATGCGTACTGCTTTGCTGAAGCGCAGCTCAAGATACTGTGAAACAAAGCAGCATAAGAAATCTAAAGATAAGCTCGCTTTAACTGAGTACTGGTGAAAAATGAAAATGCTTCGGCAAACCTGATAAGCGCTTGAGACGCGCAGTCTGTAAAACACTGGAATGAAAATGTGAGCTGGAATGAAGAGGCCCAGGATGTAGGCGCAGCCGATGAACCAGTACTGAGTGCCGTGTGTGTAGATCTCTGCTGGTACGCCAATGATAGCCACGGCCGACTGGAACGAGGCAATGAGCGAGAGGGAAACGGGGAGGCAGCCCATGCTTCTGTCTGCCATTAAGAACTCTTGAGTCGTGCGCTGACGCCCACCAGACAGAGCGTAGTATAGCCCGATGCCCATAGAGGCAGCGAGTAAGACGGCAAATATCACATAGTCTATAACCGTGAAGAACTTCTGGTCGGACGGGTCCATCTTGATTGTCTCCTGGCTGCAGTTTGAGAAGATTGTGTGCTTCTTCACACACACGGTCAGAAAAATAGGAAACGTCCTTGTTCACACCCATCAGTCATAACAGTCCAAAAACCTTGAAGGAAACAAAAAAAGCTGAATAAATATGCATGTGGGCTGGCTGTTGAAGGTTGGTGCTTTGAATCCTGGGCAAGATACTAAACTCAAGTTGCTCTCTGATGCATCCATTGGAGTATAAATGTCAGACAGAAAGCACTTAAGCATTAAAAAGTGCTTGTATGAAAGGGTGTGAATGGGCGAGTGCTCAGATTAGAAAAGCGCTATTTAAGAACCTGTCTATTTATCATTTGCATGTGAGGTGATCTGCTCAGATATCCAGAGTTATTATTTATATTATGAAATATTATTCTATTCAGGCCTTTTCTGCTTATACAATTTAAAAAACAACAACAACAACAACTTTGCAAAAATGGGAGAAGAAACACATCTGCACACAGCTGATTTCCTTGTGCTTTTCTTAGACATTTGTGCTCCTGCTCAGGCAAACAGATTCAGCACTGAGTCTGTTGTCACTAAACTGTAATGCTTGCATCAAAGCACCGCTGCTACATGAGAATATCACCAATCTGTGCAATGTAAAGCAGACAAACTGAAGTCATGTAACCTCTCACTATGTTAGCTTTTCCCTGCTTGTGCTGATCCAAAAATAATGTCGGCTGTTTTGGAAAGGGGGAGGTTCCTTGCTCCTGAGCTACAGCAAAAACAAGTCACTGTGAGTTTTCAAGGTCAATGACATCAAACGTTTAAACAAGCTCTTCCAGCTGTGGCGAAGAGGGGTTAAAAGGTCATTTTAAAACGTGTTTTCCTATCAGAATATAAAGCCAGTAAAAATATTTCAGTGGAATGTACTATAAATTCACACGGGTTGCAGTATTTTTAAATTGACTGCTTAACTAAATCGAGCAAAATTACCTAGAAGATTGTTTTCAAAACATTTGGGGGGTTTTAGCATTACAAATAGGTGTCACCCAAGGGTCCAGAGTGGCATCCTCTTGTATCTTGTTTTGATTTCCTTCCACATTAAAACAGACTGAAGGTTGAAATCCTTTCATCTGGCCGGGAGCCAGATTAGGTATTAATATACTGTAAAAATCTCTGCTGATCAATTAATTGATCATTTTGCCTCAAACCCAACAAAGTAGGCGCACAAAATACAACAAGGTCACAAAAGCCTCGCTGTACTATGGCAAAGCATGATACAGGATTTTAAAAGTGACTTTATCTGCATAACTTGACTGGGTATGAAGGAAATAGCCCTAATCAAGACAGCATGATGTGTGAGAGGAAACAGTGTGCTAGCGGAGACAGAACAGGTACAACAGCATTGAGCAGGGTTACCTTTACAGGGCACTGTGGGTATCCGGGTGAGTGTAACCGTCACCATGCCTTTCACTGAGACGTTCAAGAGCACTGCGTTAGTTAAAACTTGATGAGGAAGGTATTTCCATGAATGAAATCACGACTTTATGAAAATCAGGGGTTGTATTTTCAAATAAACTGTTTAAACTTATGCTATGTTGAAAAAAAGGACTTGAACACACTTACCATGCTAATCTGTCGCTCCATTGCTCCATGTGATCGCAAACTGTTTTTAATTTTCTTCCGGGGTTGGAGAAGTGGGCGGTGTGGTGACGCAACAGCCGCCAAAATCAAAAACTTGCAAGAGGAGTGGACGTTTACAAGTACGTACAGAAAAATAAAGAAAAAGACTCGGGAAACATGGAGGGAGCACCTGCGAAAGGTACCTCGGAGCGAGAGCTTTTAACTAGCTTAGCGACACCGCAAGCTAGCTTATAAAGAACATTGTTGTGATGCAAAGTTCGTTAGCTTGCTAATGCTATGAGCTAATGTTTATTAGCCCAACAATACAACAGTAAAACATTCGTTTGTGTCCTTTAGAAGTTAGTAAATGTGTGCTTTATCCTCAGGTGTTTTGAGTCACTTGAGTCTGCTGGAAGTTAAAGCCAGGAGTCGTAAAACTCAGCTTCAGCAGCAGAGTCGTGTGATGGAGCTGAAGGCTAAAGTTGAAGCACTGAAGACCCAGAGAGAGCAGCTGAAGGCACAGATACAGACACACCAGGTTTGGGGACTCATGGTGGTAGAAGCTAACTTCGCGGACAAATATTTACGCAAAACACGTGATAAACTTATACAATTATAAGCCGTATTTATATTCATAAAATATACCGTTTATAGTAGGATTACATTGAAATCTTTATCAAGATATAGCAGTTTATGTTAGTGTTTTACTTATATACTACAGTAGAGTACTCATCCTTACCTGACCATTTTCAGAAGAATATTGTATTTCTTTGTTAAGCCATTTAACACTGATCTATAAATCATTCCAGCACAAAGAAGGTACACAACTCGAGAGATGAACCACTGTTTGACAGGCATAAAACTGTATTTTTTGATTGGGATTCAGATCCTGATTGTTTACTTAGGTGTGAGAAAGCAGTGATAAACCAACTGATTTCATATTCATATGATGCTCACATTTGAACTGGGTCTGAAACGTTACATCACTTTCACATGCTGGTTGCACTTTCCTGTTACAGGACCTCCAGAAACTGAGGTTGGCTATGGACAAACAGTGTGCAGATGAAGAAGAGGAGAACATGGATGAAGAGTCAGAGAACTCAAACCTTTTGCAGCTCATGGCCAGACACACTCAGCTGAAAGATCTTCTACATGCTCATCACCTCATTGGTATCAGCCTAACTGCAGTATTATTTCCTCTGGTTCAGTGTCACCTGGAAATGTTTTCACTGACTTTTTCCAGTGTGTCTCAGACTTCAGATCTTTATTGGCCTGTTTTAATCCTCTCTTTTTTCCTGCTCTGTTTTATTTGCTGATATCATCAGGCGGGTATGACATCATAAAGACTCGCAAGGGGAAAGGAGCATGCGTATCTATCGCAACGGCCTATGAGAACGTCTTCTTAGACACCTTTAACCTGGAGATTGATCTGAAGCCAACTGTAAAGATTAGTCGCCACAACATCCCTCCCTTTATTCCCCTAAACAACCTTGCTGAGCAGAACAACATGCAGACAGACCTGAGGGTGTTTCTGGACACCCTCAGCCAACATCTCAACGCCTTTGTTGGTCGCAAGCAGCAGCTGAAGCTTGTTAAGGTGCCAGATTTCACTTTTTTAAATTATATGTCACCATATCCCTCAGTAGCTGTGGCATCGCCCAATTAATGTTGACTCCATCATGTTCTGCGTTCTGGGTGGGCAAAGCCATCTGTTGCAGGACTCCATGTTTAGGTGGCTGAAGATTTTTTTTAAAACATATCTCTGGCTGGACGTTTGGGCTTGTTCTACTACAGAATTAATTTACACTTTGATTAAATTATGAATATAACAATCAAAAGTACCCTAAACAGTTGCACAGTTCTTTTTATGAAACCTGTAGCTTTGTTGGGGAGCAACAGAAACCGTGGAGTTTTGTTCCATTCATAGATTTTGAAAGCCAAGAACCCATTAATGTTAAGCACAAACTATTTATGGCCTTTAAAGCACAAAACAGTTTTGTATTTATTGCTATTTGTTTTAAAACAATATCAAATTGACCCTGTTTTTCTTTTTGTTTATAGGAAAAACATAAGTCGATTGAGGTGATGGAGAGTAATGTTTTATGTTCACTACTGGTGCTGTTACTCACTGTGCCGAGAGAAAAGACAGCTGTGCTCTGCACACTGGACTACACGGACCACACCAGATGTCTCCCCACACGAGTCCATCTTGAAAGTGAAGGTAGGAGTTTCACATTCATTTTTGTTTTAAATACATACTCAGTCCCATTCCCACAGGCGTATGATGCAACATGCTTTTACGAACATTTGTGGAAGTAATGGTCATTGTAAAGCGGTCACTGAATTGCAAAAAGGAAGCTTGTGAAATCCTAGATATTCAACCATCAGCTGCAAGAATATTACTGCAAAAGTGGAAGTGTTCAGGAGCCACAAGAGGTCAGCCACAAACGGTTCATGAAGTGACAGGACTGTTTCAGTGGCTGAGCAGACTTTTGCTGTAATGCGACCCGATACTTTTGTCCATTTAATAGATGTAGAAAGTCTGTTTACAAACATGTGATGTTGTTGTTAAAGAAATTCATAAAACTTAAATATGGTAATGTTGTTTAATGTTGATTTCCTTTTGTTTGTTGCAGACAAACAGCTTCCCGATTCTCCACAGTGGAAGAAAAACTGCACCTTACTTATGGAGACTCCTGTGCACAAAGCTTTAATAACCATGAAGAAAATGGGAAGCATTGTTTAATTTATTCATTAATATGTATTAAATGAGTTTTGCTGTTGCATTTTGCTAAAAGAGTAATGTACTTACTCATTTTTCATTTTTGTTTTTAAGGTATTAAATTGTAAGAAAGTGAAGTTTCCAAATGTTCAAGCAAAAAGTCTTAAAATTCAGGCAATAAAAGTCATATTTGTGATGCGATCGCTGTTTTTTGTCCCTGTCTCTATATACATGGTCTGTAAATACTGTCTCTGATGTTGCTATTAACTTGTGTGTAACATCAACCTGCCAGAGGGTCTACAGATGGAAATTAGACTATAATCTGGCATAGTTACATTTGTTAAAATCTTCAATAATATGTATTGTCCCTCTTTCTAATAAAGAAAGGAAAAACATCAATTTTATTTTATTTATTTATTTTTTTGCACACTGTTGCGTTGAGTACAGTCATACAGGTATGCTTGTTGCCATGGCTGTCTCAGCACATGTAATACAATAGCCTATTGTAAAGCGTGTCTAGTGCAAGCGGTTGTCGCTAAGTGTGCAGTAATTTTTCAGCAGCACATTCCTGAGAGATTCAGTTTCAGCACAATCGTGGAGTTTGTTGCACATCAAACAACTAATAAAAAATACTTTTGTTTTTAAGGTATTGAGTTGTGAAAACGTAAAAGTGCCCAAACTTTCAAATTCCTCTACGAAAGTTTCGTAACAACCTCCACGTCTTTTTTATCTTTCAGCTTATCTATAAATTCCATCACCTTCTTGTGTAACATCTCTCTCTGAAGCAGTCTCAGCCTTTCCAATTCCTCTTGGGCTTTCTGCTGTTGCCTGGCCAGCTCTTTTTCTGATATTGAGTCAATCGTTGCAATCTTTTTCATCTGCATAAGTGACAAGTTGCTCTGGACTTTCCCTTTGTGTCTCATAGAACTTGTAGGTTTAGTCGATGGTGGTGGTGCTGATATGGACCGACCCTGTTCCACGAGTTTAGATCCTTCATAGCTGGATTTGCTAGAACGCAATCGTCCAGCAGATGTGTATATCGCCCTGGAGAAGTTTGCGTCTGCATTTCTTTCATACTCGGCGAATTCTTTCATAGCGATGCTGACTGTAGCTTTTGGTTCACAGAATTGTACCATCACCACCCGTCTTGCTTCATTTAGCAGTTTGTCCCTTCGCTGTTGAAGCATTTTCTGGGTGTATCGGTGCTGTTTATCCAACATGATTAGCTTACGTTGCAGATCTCGGTCCTCCTTTTGGTTTAGCACTCTTAACACTCTTTGTAGTTCAGGTCTTCTGTAGATGTGATCCATTATGTCCAAGAACTAGGGGGAGGAAAGCATTTTCTGAGCTTTTTTGTGTTTTAGATTAAAACCAAAAATATCCGTTTTATTACCTGATTTTTGTGCACTATTCTGAGCGCAGTCGTACAGGTGTGTTTGGTCTCATGGCAGTCTCACCATCTGTAATATAATAGCCTATTGTAAAGCATGTCTAATGGAGGTTTTGTTAGTGATTTGCAAGTGTGCAGTAATTGTTCATCAGCGCATATAGAGATTCAATTTCAGCACAGTAGCAGGGCTTCTTGCACGTTACACTGTGACTGTGAAAAATACTTCGATTTTGTGCAGTTTTCTCCCTCCTGCTTCATATAATTCACTATTTGGGGTTATGATAAAAAATGAATTGTAAATGTACATTTTGGGAGAAAATTACATTATGAGTTACCATTTGTTTTACTGTAAATGCTGTGCAAATAAATACAATCAGAGTCTGTTATTCGAATATCCTAAACTGTTGCTTTTATATAAATATTGGTAATTAAAGATGTGGTGGTTTTAGAAACACTGAGCTCATGAATCCTCGCTATTCTGACTGAGAAAGATTTGCTTTGACACAAGTCTTCAGTTGTTAGCCATCGGATCATCCCCAAACGTGTCATCCTTCTCCAACGGTCTTTCTCATCTCCTCCTTCACTATATCTGTGAATCTTACCTGGTCTTCTTCTGACCCTCCTGCCTGGCAGCTCAATGTTATCTTCGGCCTGATGTATCCACTAACCCTCCTGCCAGTTTTTCATTTGGCAAAGATTTAATGCTGAATTCGCTTCCCGGTGAAACCCTCACTATTTAACTGGGCTTGGGACTGACACTAGGAGTACTCTCGGTTGAGCCATAAAATAAATATATATTGGTCATGATCTCCACTAGCTTTCTATGTTTATTGATTGTTTTTTCCTAATATTTTGATATTTTCAAAAACATTTTTTATTATTACTTTAAGTTTTTTAGCATCTTATTTGACAGTAAACTCTGAATCTTTAGGGGTTTTTTTCCCCTTTGATTAATTGATTTGATGATTTGTCATCTTCTTGTGGGTGTTTTCAATCTGCTTTTTAGTAGACTCATTTATAATTGAAGATAACATTTGTAGAACTTAGATCCACATTAACATGAACATAGGAGAAACTATGCTTACGAGAAAATCGCTGTGCTACAGCAGGCAGAAAACGAAAAAGTTGAAAAAAGATACAATATTACAAAAACATGACTCTAGTTTGTTATATTTCTCAGTTTACTTTTATTTGTCTCTGTTCCCCATAAAATATTAACTGCATATATTAAGTTATTATATAAATGAAAATAGTACGAAGTGTCCTGATCATATTTACAAAAAACTGTGTAATTGCAGTATACCTTTAACAAGCAAAGACAGCCCCTCTGGAGTTTGGCCCTCCCGCGCTAAAACTGAAAACCAGGCTTGAATATGGCACAACAAAACTTCCCAAAATGTCACACAGTTACTCCAAAGTTGATCAGCTGTTGACATCGCTGCTTGGTAAGTTTATTCTCTGCAGTGATTTGGCTTCATTTACATTTTCAGAGGAAATGCTGTTCGCTCGTTTTCAGCTGCTTATCTTCACTGCCGCTTCGCTGGTTTTAGTCGCACAGGTCAAACAGAGTAATCAATCAGGTTTGTCGATTTACATGATTCGGACATAATGCAAAATACAGCCGTCTAAAGCGTGAGAGAATGTTGCGCATGCGCATTACGGAAAGGGGGGGGAGATTACAGTATAATGTAAAAGCAGAAACACGCATACGTTTACAATAAGGGGTTTCTCTTTTCCGCTTTTTCGCGGTCTCTTCTCCATGTTTTTTCCCTTTGTTCTGGTAAATAGTTCTGATATGTCTTCATTCCCTTGAATTCCTTCCTGGCTTGTATTCAGCATTTTCAAACTTTGTGGTTTAAACTGTTTTGGTCCCATGTAATTGTTTAGAGATGTAAAACTGTGTTAACCGGAGAGTCAAACTGTTGCTGCTACTTCAGGTGCTGATTTTGGCATAAATAACTGCAAAGAGATGAGTTGGCTGTTACCAAATTCGAACAGTTAATTTTGATCTCACAGAGGTTTATGCTTGGATATTATTTAAAACATTTAACGGCAACAATCCTTAGCCTCGTTTAACCCAGATAACCTAAACCACTAAACACTGAGGCATTTTTTAATACATTTGGACACACTGGGTGGAGAAGATCACTGAGATCATCAATCCGCAAAAGATATTATATGCAAACAAACCTGGTTGGAGGCTTTATTTAGTATAAACCACAGCATTAGTTTACTCTTAAGGTTTTACACCAGACTGGAGCTGAAGCACATTGCTGTTTTAAATATGGAGCACCTAAACAAATCTATGGAAATGCAGATATCAACAAATAACACTTTTTAAAAAAAATAAAATTCTGCTTTGTTGTTATTATTAGAAATTATGACATACTTAATGTTCTGTAACAACTTGTGCTTTAACAGCTTAATTTCCTCTTTTGTTTTCCACACAAATAGCAATTGCCCCTGCAGAGGTTATCTAATGCATCAGATCCTGCAACCTGGAAGATTTTTACTCAGAAATACGTGCCACATAGTGAGTGTTTAAGCACTAAATTAAAGCCTACATAAAGTTGCTTCAGTTTTACATGCTGCAGTTTTTCTTGTTGCACCACTTGCAGGTCAGAAAGAAAAATGTAGGCCTACTCTACTTTTGTTTTCAAGGTGTGGTCCAAGCATTACGTTAGTGTTGCCAAGATGATGCGGGCAGTGTGTGTTGATGTACCCGGAGGACCGGAGAATTTGCTGCTGCAGTCTGTTCCCAGACCTAATCCCAAAGCAGGAGAAGTCCTGATTAAAGTTCATGCAGCTGCCCTCAACAGAGCAGACCTTTTACAGGTAGAGTATATTATAGCCAAAAGAGCATAACACAGTGCTATTATCTCCTGTAAATCTCATAGCCTGCTTTCAGTCTTCTGTGACTCACTGTATTCTGAATTATATCTAAATTTGCATAACACTGGCCTAAAAATAATTATCTTGTGTTTTCCACAGAGACGAGGCCTGTACCCTCCTCCTGCTGGTGAGAGTGACATCATAGGCCTGGAGGTAGCTGGTACTATCCACACCCTGGGTCCAGGGGTGAAAAAGCAATGGAAACCAGATGACCGGGTCATGGCTTTGCTCTGTGGAGGAGGATATGCAGACTATGTTTCTGTGCCCGAGGAGCTTCTCATGCCCGTTCCCTCTAATCTCACAATGTGTCAGGCTGCTGCAATCCCAGAGGCCTGGCTCACTGCTTTCCAACTGCTGGATTTTGTTGGTATAACAAACATTTCTGTGTCTCTTTGTTTTTCTTCATTTTTATATGTTTTAATGATAAAGATTAGACAACTGAGTTCTTCAATGAGTCACATTTATTTCTATTTGACTTTTTTTAATTAACAAGAGGCCAAAGTCAGATTTGGTGCAAATTCTATACTTGCCATCTGTCTTCTCTGCTCCAGTTCAGGTGAAAGAGGGTGAGGTGGTGCTGGTTCACGCTGGAGGCAGCGGAGTCGGAACAGCGGCCGTTCAGCTTGTTCGTCTGTTTCGGGGTGTGCCGGTTGTCACTGCCGGGAGCCCAGAAAAATTGAAGCTGGCTGAGAAACTGGGTGCTGTAGTTGGATTCAACTACAAAGAGGAGAGCTTTGCACAGGGAGTGCATGACTTCACTGGAGGTGAATTATGGAAATCAACATGCATTTAATTTTGCTGCAGGCGATTTTGCAGTGTCTCTGCTGATAATTTCTAATGATAGCATTGTTTTTGCATACTTCAGATTGCTATCAAATGTTTTGTCTTTGTTTCACAGGCATTATATTGGAGTTAAATGTTTCCAACCACTGTAGCAATCAGAGCTTAATGCTACACAGCTCTTCTGTAGCTTTCTAATAAATGCACATCAAAGAGCTTTGGTAACCAACTCCAAAAAATCCTCCGTCAATACTTAAGAAGCAAGTCAAAACACATGATTTCATTTTCAAGGATAAAAGAAAAATGAGTTGTTTTGTAATTTTAGTTTAAAAAAAATTTTGTTCAATCTGTCACAGTGTATTTGTTTAGAACAGGGGTCAAGCATAAGACCGGGGGGAGAATCGGCCTACCAAAGAGTCCAATCAGGCCCACTGGAAAATGCAAAGGAGGGCATAAAGATTGGAGTTCTCTGCGTATTTTCATTATATTTACAACTTTTCCTACTGATACAAACCTCCCACATGGTCATTCATACTGCACTAATGTAGTAAAGTAGCATTAAAAACAGCGGAAGGATAGAATAGTTCCTGTATTTTCACTCTCCACTGCAGAAATGTAGTCTTCATTGGTCTTGTTTAGCCTAGCTAACCTACACCACAAAACACTGAAGTAATTTTGAATACATTTGAACACAATGGGTGGAAAAGGTCATCGAAATAACAAATCTGCATAAGAGGATATGATATGCAAATAAACTGGGTTAAAGGCTTTATTCAGTATAGACCACAGCATTACTTTACTCCTAAACTTTCACGCTAAACATGGAGTCAAAGTGGGCTGTGGTGGGCCATGATGTAAAATAAGATTAGCATCTCTGGTTTGGAGCTATTTTGAATCAAGAACTTGATTGTATTGGAGAAGGGCAGTCACCTGTAATTGTAAAATCTCTAATTTCACAGGCAAGGGAGCAAATGTGATCCTTGATTGCATTGGTGGGTGCAACTGGGAGTCAAATGTGAGCTCTTTGGCCATCGATGGCAGGTGGGTGCTGTACGGCACCATGGGAGGGAGGGCGGTAGAGGGAGATCTGCTGGGCAAATTGCTGTCCAAGCGAGGCCACTTGCTCACTAGTCTCCTCCGCTCTCGCAGCCTGCAGGTAAGAATTGAAAACAGAAGTGACGCAACAGCTGTGTTTCTTCATCTCTGTGCTGACTCGTGTCAGTGCCACTTTCCTCTCCTGGGTCTGGTTTGCCAAAATGAGGCAACTTGCTTGGGTTACTTTTCAGACATCTCTTGTAATATATATGTTTGCAACTGGACCTCATATGTACTTTGCATTTTCCTTTCACAGTACAAAGCTGACCTGGTGAAAGCTTTTACAGGCAGGGTGTTGCCATATTTCTCAGACCAGCCTGCCACCCTGAGGCCAGTGATTGACAGCACATTTAGCCTGGATGACATTGCAGAGGCTCATAAGCACATGGAAGCTAACAGAAACATGGGGAAGATTGTCATCAATGTGATTCCACAGATTGAGCAAACACAGTGATGAATTCATACTGTAATAGAAACGCACTGGCTTTGAAATTTCCCAAAATACTGAAACCCACTGTCATTGTAAAACTTTTCTTTTGTTAGGAATATTCATAATTTACTAATAAAATAGACCAAATCACTTTTTCATTTTCTGTTCTAGTATTGTTACGATTACGTCCTGTGTTACTGTTCTTTTTCTATCCCCTATTCATTGAGGTGAGTTTTCTCCTGTGGTGGTATTACTCACAATTTTCTACAAGCAGCATAGAAATGACAGAAATATGCATTTCAATGCATGATCAATGCTTATAATAGTTAACTAAAAAGCTAATTTGGGAGAAAAAGCAAAACTAACTCACAAAACTAGAAAAACATAGTAAATGTTATAAGTTTTAATCTTTGCCAGTTTAGATACATTTTATTATCACAGCCTGCCTGATTAAATTTGGTTGCATTTGCTTATTGAGACTTGGGACGTCTACATGATTGTGAGCCAGCTGACATTTGTACTGTAACATTACCTGTTTTGATTTTCCTAAATTTTGCCCCTGATAATAATCCTCAGAGGTCACCACAGCAGATCATTTCCCTTCATCTCACCCTATCTATTCTCATCTGCCACACCAACCCTCTGCATATCCTCCCACAGTACATCCACGTACCTCCTCTGTGGTCTTCCACTTTTTCTCCTTTTTATTCCCCGTCTCTCCAGGGCATATCGCCACCTTTCTTAACTCTTCTTCATCTGCTCCCTACTTTCACTAAAGATCACAATGTTGTTTGCAAACATTATATACTCCATGAACATTCCTGGCTGACCTCATCAGATCACAGATCTAAACTAGAAGGGGTCGAGATGTTTCTTGATGCAATCCCACGCCCACTTTCAACACATCTATCACTACTACCTCAGCGTTATCATACATTTTGTGCACCACCCTCACACACTTATCTGCCTCGCTATAATTATAATAATAAAACGTCATTTGAAACTGTATTGAAAAGAAAAAAATCGAACAAATAATAAAATAAATAAATAAAACTAAATAGAAAATAGCAAACTATAATAACTGTCAAGGTCTTCAAATTTTATGTGAGCTGAATCTTATATTAATAAATTTTTAAAAATCGGAAAGGATTTAGAGACGACTCTCTAGACGATGCTGATTGGTAGTGTACTTGTTTAAATAAAGTTCTTTAAATTGAAAAAAAAAAATCTTCTCAAACTTCCGGCTTCTGTGTTGCGGCTCCTTTCACAACTTCCCTCTAGGTCCTGAGGAGGCAAAGTTAACATAAAAAGGTCGTGTAACTGAGTTATTTTAATGAATAAATATTAAATTAGTCAACGGACAACCTTCGGACTCTATGATTCGACGGAAAACAGCGAATATCTTTATTTATCTGGTAAGTAAGAGTGAGCATGTCCCTCAAGCCGCCCTGCTAAACGTATCTGCGTCAGCTAGCAGTCTGAACCCGCAGGTGTTTACGTGAAATTTAGCAAAACAAGTTGAATGTAAGAGCTAAACTAATGTTTTTATGAGTGAGCTGTAGGTATGCAGCCAGTCGTGTTAAAAGCTGATTCATGTGAATGAATTGTTGACCTATAATTGGTCAAACATCTCTCATGAATATTAAGCCATTTTGAACCAGAAGTAACATTTCTGTTAAAGTGCCGCTTATGTCCTTTTATTTATCAAGGTAACAAGTTTTATTGACGTTAAAAATGTCCAATTCAAGACGAATTTAGCCAGTAGGTTAGCAAAATTTTCCACAACTATAACATAACAGCTCTACAAAGATATTTTAAAGGGCTAAAAGAACTAGGTTGATTATAATGTAGAGTAAAAATAGGTGCAATGATGCATTCATAGGGACGCTTGCAAAACAAGTCAATTTTTTATTTTATATACAATCCCCTTGTAAATCTTGTCGACTACAACCAATTAAACAAATCAAACAAGGATATTAGGCATAAAACACATGCAAACGTCAACAAGCAGTGTTTGGCATACATATTATGACCAGTGGTTCTACATAAATCTTTAGGGGTGGTAGGGTAACTAAAACCAAAAGCCGATGAATTTAAAGAATTATATTTTGCTGCTAAGGTGCACGGGCTAATCAAAAAATATGTCAGTATGTAAGTTAAGGAGTGCTGAAATGCATTTGTTGTTCTTGAAAGAGACTGGCTGACCTTTTTAAGTGAAAAGGTAAATGTGAAGGAGTATGATGTCCTTTTAAGGAAAACAAACGTCCCCAGCAAATAGGCCTATTTAGGTTTATTAGCAATAAACAAGAGTTGTAAACCAGAGTAATTACATGTGTTAAAGCACTTTACCTAACTGCTGGTATGAATAACTTTTGTATTTAAACTTGATCCTACTTTGTTTTGAGCTTTATTTGGATATATGACTGTATGTGGGATTTGCATGTAGGATTATCCCAGAGAACCCCAGCTTTCACCCACAGTCCAAAGACGTGCAGGTTAGGCTAAATTAGATTAATTGTACAAATGTGTGCAAGTAATGCGCCTACTTTCTGTGATAAGAAGTACTTCTTCAACCACAGCAATAAACATGAATTAGAACGCCTTACAGTGTCTGAATAGTGTGCTGCTGCGTTCACTTGCACTGGGACAATGCAGATTAATGATATACTGCATGATGTCCTTGGTGAGCGTGCTGTCCATCACAACTTAGATATGCTCTTTTTTTCCCCCTCAAACTTCTTTATTTCAACTACACTTTTGAGCCCTTGAAGTTACTTTCCTGATCTGTCTGCATTGTGCCTGTTAGAAAAGGGTGGAATTGTTTACATTTTTTATGTCACAGAAAACACATCCTGAAACATGGAGGATCCAAACAGACCACAGAGGAAAATGTCAACAGCAGGAGAGAGTTTGTACAAGTTGCTGGGAGTGGAGAAGGGAGCGTCTCCTGACGAATTGAAAAGAGCCTACAGGTGTGACTATCTCTTTCAGTTCTGAGCTACAAGAACTAATAAATTAAATGTTACTCTCACTTGTTAATTGTGCTGTTCTTACAATAGCACAATTAACAAGTGAGAGTAACATCATTGTTTCAGAGATTTATGGCGACATTAGTGAAATCTTAGGCTACGTCCACACTAGACGGATAGATTTGAAAACTGCGTTTTCGTCTGATGGCCGAAAACGCTTACGTTCCAGTACTGCGCATGCGTGAAACGCAAGAAGATTTGACCTGCCTCATTTCTGTCTGCCGCTTATTTATTTCTGGCTCTTTGAAACGTCGCAGCAAAATGTCAAGGAAAAGCACCGACTTTTTTAAACCCTCACTTGTTTGTATTTTTTAAAATTTTTAAATTTCTCTTTTGACTAGGAAAATGGCGTTAAGGTATCACCCTGATAAGAACCCAGACAACCCCGAAGCAGCTGAGAAGTTCAAGGAGATCAATAATGCCCACTCCATCCTCACTGATGTGGACAAGCGTGGTATCTACGACCAATATGGATCCATGGGCCTCTCGGTGGCCGAGCAGTTTGGGGAGGAGGGAGTCAAATATTACTTTCTCATGTCCAAGTGCTGGTTCAAGGTGAGAGGCAAGGGGATGTAGTTTTAAAGGTGAAAACAGAACATGAAGTTGTTTGTTCTGGTAGTAGGTGAATTATGCAGAAATTTAAACGCCAAAATGTGACCAAAGCATGCCGCAAAGTGTCCAAAAACTCTCCTAATACTCACATTGGTTTTCTTTTAGACCCTGTTTGTGTGCTGCACTATTTTCACCTGCTGCTGCTGTTGCCTCTGCTGCTGTTGCTGCTGCGGAAAGTGCAAACCACAAGATGAAGAGGACAATTTCATCTACATGGACCCTGAGGACCTGGAGGCTCAGATCAGAGAACAAGATGCAGGTGAGGAACTATTTTATATTCACTTAAGAATATATACAGTTGAGCAAGGCAGCAGCTTGCATAGAAACAAAGAGCTGGAGTTGAAAATGTTTCTTCTAGAAATCTAGGATTAATGATATGGAAAGATTAGTTTTCACAGCTTAGTCTGCCTTTTTTTCACCGATATAGTTAATTATGTGTTTTCTTGTGGAAAGTCTGCACAGGAAGGCGTTAACTGGATTCTCTTAGATACAGTCGACAGCCTCTTGAAGTGTTTACAGCCCAGTTTTGCTGTACTGATAACACGGGTGTTACTTTATGCTGAGCAGTTGTAACCCTGCCAGTAATCTTGATCTTAACTGTGCATGTGCAGTAAATCCAGCAGCAAGTTAACTTTGCCAAGAAAGGGGGGGTACATCTTCATTCAGTACAGGGCATGTTTAGAAAATGATATAGTCTATAAAAATGAAGTAAACATCTCAGATGAACAACAGCTGGTGACATATTACTCTGCCATTGTTTCTTTAATATAAACTAAGCTAAAATGCAGAAGCAGTGTGTGGGTAAACGAAGTACACCCCATGACTCAGTAGCTTGAAGAACCACGGATGGATGGATGACTTCATCAGTCTTTCACAGGGATGCAAGGACTTTGGCCCACTCTTCTTTATAACGTTGCTTTGGTTCATTGAAGTGGAGGCATTTGTTTATGCACAGCTCTCTTAAGGTCCCACCGCAGCATTTTAATCGTGACTTTGGGTGTCCCATTGCAACTCGTAGATTTGTTTCTTTTCAGTGGGGTGTGTGTGGGTATTTACCAAAACACAGCTCTAAGCATGTTAACTGGGTTGTGGTCTGAACTTTTACTGGGCCTCTGCAGCACTTATGTTTTTTTTTTGTTTTGTTTTGTTTTTTTAGCTGGTGTGGATTTGCTGCTGTGCTTGCGATCATTGTCCAATTTCATTACCTAATTTGGGCCAAACTTTTAGCTGTCAGACAAATGGCCTAACAGTTGACTCTAGAATAATTTGCTATACAAAGGAGTTCATGTTTGACTCAATGGCTGCAAAACGAGCCTACATCATCACTCCTTCAAGGTTTTGTTCTTGAAGTTTTGTGTTCAGATGCAACTTTCCAAACCTAAACCATACTGTCACTTTTAATTTATTTTTCTCCATTAAACAAGCCGTACTTGTTTGGTCTGTTTTTAATGTTTTCTCTCGAACGTTAACATTTAACATGACAACTGTAGCCTGAAGAATCTCAGATACAGCGCTTGGATTTTGAGTTTTTCTGATCTCTGGGTAAATTTGCTAGGAAGATTAGCAGCTGTCTTGAATGCTTTCCACTTGTGAATAATCTTTCTCACCGCAGAATGATGGACTTTACATTTTTATCGAAATAGCCTTAATATCCCCCCCACCCCCATCTAATTTTAAGACGTGCTAAATGGCAAAATATTTTTTACTTTTATCCTCATGAAACCTGCGAGTCGAGTGGAAATTAATGAAATGTCACTCTAATCCATTACATCTTGCCCTGATCTTGATCCGTGTAACTGGTGATACTTCACCTCTGAACTCTGTCGTCTTTGTACATTTCAAGCCGAGACAAAAGCAGGTGAAGAGATGTCGTTAAGAAGCTGTGTGTTGAATTTTGTTTTACAGCAGACCATCCCGTAATAGTTATTCAGCCGAACTCTAGCGATGCTGCTATCCATTCAGGTAAGGTGTTTTTCCGTCTTCAGGTAACGTTAACCTGTCGTCAGCTTCCTGCTGCTCTGCGCTGCTTGACTCGCCTGCTAGATTTTACAGCAGTGATTCACTGTGGAAGATTTTTTTTGTCCATGTATTAAATCCTTAATGTGAAGGACGCATGGGAAATCCAAAGCTTTTTTGTAGTTTTGTTTTTTTAAAGTGATTTATGTCCCTTATCACATACCCAGGACTTTTTGATGATGTGCTGTGTTTGTTTTTCTCCAAACGTGGTCCTGCGGATTGTGGACAGATGTCTCCACTTTGGTCTCATCTGTCTAGTGGACATTGTTCCAGAAGTTTTGTGGTTTGTTCAGATGTGATTTTGAAAAAACCCAATAGTCCCCCCAGTCTAATTTTCAGACGTGCTAAAGGGGAGATCGTTTTTGTTTTACTCTGACAAAACCTGCATGTAGAGTCATATTAATGAAATTCACTAATGCTGATTCTGTTGCCTAACAAAATGTCACTCTAATCCTTTAATTTCTGCCCTGATCTTGATCTCTGTAATTGATGATCCCTTAACCCCCCCCAACCCCTGAATGCTCATTACGCTGTTAATTGCAATCGAAGCGGTAAGTTTGTTCGTATACTTTCAAACACTGCTTCTGCATTCTGGCTTATTTCTGTTAAATAAATAATGACACATGTCATAGGTCAAGTGAGGTTATATTTCTGTCATTTTAAGACGTGCTGAAGGTCAGATTACTGTTATTCTAATAACGACTTGCATGTCGAGTGGCAGTTATTAAATTCACTGATGCTGTTGCCTAACAAAATGTCATGCTAATCCTTTCAATTCTGCGCTGATCTTGATCTCTGCATTCTCTCGTCTTTGTACATTTCAAGCCGAGACAAAAGCAAGTGAGGAGATGTTGATTTACCCAGTGTTGAATTTTGTTTTACAGCAGACCATCCCGTAATAGTTATTCAGCCGAACTCTAGCAATGCCGCTATTCATTCAGGTAAGGTGTTATTCCTCCTCCAAATACATTCACCTGTTGCCAGCTTGCTGCTGCTCTGTGCTGCTTAACTTGCTGCTAGATCTTGCAGCAAAGAATTGATTTAAAGGTTTTTGTGCTGCTTATGTTTTCTGTTGTTGTTAATGAGAAAAGCTTCATTAAGTGTTTTTCAGTGTTTCTATCCTAAAGGATTTTGGAAGGATGTTTTTTTTTTTTGTTGTTGTTGTTTTTGTTTTTGTTTTTATTATTTTGTTTGTTTGTTTTTTTTATGGCGTTATACTATTTACATGGTTTTTTCCCTGCTATAAAAGATCATTGCTCAAACTGTAATTTTAGACTGTAAGTGTTGTCCATTTCCCACATTATATAAAAAAAGGACACAGAACAGAGTATACAACCAATCATCAAAATCTCCTTTTGCATGTATGAGCAGATTGCACAGATTGATCTTGACATATAATGATTCGTACAGATTTATAGTTCTGGAGTTTTGGCTGAAAGATTTGTACAAATATGGAGTGACATGAAATTTGGTACCAATAGTGTTCACTTAACTTGTTTTCTGGTGCCATCATCTGGTCAAATACCTTGCTTTTGTGCACTAACATGCTAAACTAAGGCAGTGAACCCAGGCAGTAATATAATTGCTTTATTTATGTATTTATTTATTTTTAAATGATGAGACGTACTTCCCTTCATGTTTCATTTTCTGTGAGACGTAAGTGGTTTTGACAGCTTCTTGCCTCATTTAAGAACACTCCCACACCACACACCTGTTCATCACCTGTTCTCGTTACCTTCTGCAGGGGAGAACACACCGATTGTGATTCAGACTCACGCAGCCAAGGGGGGCTCGGGACCTGGAGAATGAACGACTGTATCAAACACTGAAGTGCAGAAAATGTTTTCATCTCAGAGATTTGTTTGTTTACATGAGTCAAACTGCAATTTATTTGATTGTGCCATAGTTATTTTTTAAAAAATGTGCTTTTTCTTTGATCCAGTCTTGTATTTATTCTTTTTAAAATGTTAAATTTCTGAATTTGGGGCGGAGACAAATAACAAAGCCATGCAGATCAAAGCCTCTGAGCTCGGGGATAATTATTTTTTTCCTGCGCACTTTAAACTCACACATTCATATTGAATGTTTGGAATATTCTGAAGCTGCCATGATC